GAGATTTTGGTCTTTCGGAAACACCTAGGGCAATTTGACATTGCCGCACCAGTCCATGGCAGTGAGTTGTTTTTGTTTCTGAGTTTGGGCTGCAACTGTTAATAGCTGGGCTGCTAAGTGAAGGTTGGTGGTTCGAACCCACCCAGAGGCTCTGAGGGAGAGAAGGTCTGGTGAGCTACTTCCGGCAAAAATTACAACCTAGGAAACGCTACTAAAAAAATAAGCACCAAAAAAATAAAATAACTACCCCACTCAAGGGGGAGCAAATAAGAGAATTGTAGGTGAATGCGTATATTAGATGGGGTAAGATACAGCCAAAAACCCCAAAAACAGTAAGAAGAATAAGGGTTCTGGGCAGGGGGAGGGGCCAGGTGAGGAAGGGAGGACAAAAGAGGAGCAGATATCAGAGTTCAAGAAGAAAGGAAATGCTGGGAAACCAATTTGGGTAGCAATTGTACAGTTATGCGTGGTCGAATTGAATTATAGAATGTTCTAATATCTGTAAGATATTAGATTAAAATAAATTATTAAAATAAATAAATTATTAACTTTTAAAAAGTGATCGTAAAATAACCAAACCCACTGCCATCAAGTTGATCCCCATCACAGTGACGCTCTAGGGCGGGAACCCCTATGGGAACAGAAAGCCGCGTCTTTCTCCCTCGGAGAGGTGGCTTTGAACCGCTGACCTTGGGGGTTAGCAGCCCCACAAAGCCACCACGGAGTAGTTCTAGTCCATCCCTTGAGGTCACTGTAAGCGGGAACCCACGGCACCTAATGACACTATGTTTTTAAAAATCGGCGTTACGCCAACATTATTGTTCGCACACGTGCAAAGATGTCATTTCGTGGTCGGGGAGTAGGTGGTCGTACTTAGAATGCCAAGCCCCGGGTGACGACGACGACGACAGATGTAATGACATGCTTTTCTGCGGGAGAGTGGATTCAAAGGAAAATAATTTTTAAGGGAAAAAGCCTCCAATGGCTTCACAGGCTCTGTATTGAGAACGTATTTGAATGTGTTTCAGAGGCAGTGGGTGTGACCATGAGGGGGAGTGACCTCTCCCCCTGACCCCCACCCCCTTCTCTTCTTCTGTAGAATGGGGGTAACCTGCTCTGTGCAGTGGACGAGTCTAACGACCATATGCTCTCTGTGTGGGACTGGGCCAAGGAAGCCAAGCTGGTCGATGTCAAGGTAGGGGCCCTTGTCCTGTTCCTTCTCCCTGAAGTGTCTTTTGGGGACTTGCCTGATCTCCGTGGTTGGGAGTCCAGAGGCTGAAGTGGACTGGGTTCAAGTCCGTGCTGCGGTGATGTACATCTGCAGAACCAGCCCTTTGAGACCCTGTGGAGCCCGGTCCTATGCTGACACCCACAGGGTCACTGGGGGACACATGGGCCTTGCCCTCAAGGACATGGGGAGGCTGACACGTGCCCAGGAATGCCAAGCATGTATGTAGGCTGGGCGCTTCGCACAGAGCAGGAGTGGCTGGTATCTAAAAAACGTAGGAGGCAATAATGGTTCCCAGGTCAGCCCTGCCTTCTGCAATGAAGGCAGATAGAATGTTTTGGTGTGACCTCCTCCTTGGGG